GCAGCATAAAGAAAAAAAAAAAAAAACCCAAAAAACCTGATCGATAGGAAAAAGCATTTACTTAGAAAACCGTCAACACTGGTCAGAGGCCAAAAGGGTTACCCCTCACCTTGTGAACACATACCCATAGAAAAAAATTAAATATTTCTCAGGTGGGCAGAATATATGTATGTTTACCGACAACAGGTCAGCAGAAAAATTTTAAATAGAGAAATTGAGGGCAAATTGACTGTTGCTTAAGATTTCCATGCTCTCTAGGAGAACCCATCAACTTCATACGCTGCTGTGGAGGTGAAAAACAGAATTTGAAATGATGTTTATTTACCATATGCAGCTTGGTCAATACATTGACATCATTTTAGAATAAAGTTTTCTTTATCGTATTACATTTATTTTGGAAAGGTAGATACTTCTTTCATTTGTTCATTTTCATTCAGCTTCTCAAATATACTGGTACAATGTTTAAACACTGTTAGTCCACTTTTTGCAATTTGACCAGAAATGATTCCATTAAAATATTTAAGAACAAGAAAACCTTTTTCCTTTGTGTTTTTTTAATTTTAATTTTTCAATTTGAGCCTCCTTTAATGATAACACTGATTTGTATCCAGGCTTATGTAGACAATTTTTAAAAGTTAATGGTATATCGAGTTGGGCCAGTCATTGAAATGAGCTGATTAAAGAGTTTATGGAATCCTGAGAAATCTGTGTAAAAAGAGAAGAAGAGAAAAAAAGATTGGTAGTTCAGGCATTTATCCTAAGTTTTGCGGGGGTTGGGAACAGAGACATGGGCTGTCTCTTCTTTTTCTGAGTAGGTATATGAGTTGTATGTTCATTTCTCTGGGCACTTTTCACCCTACTATTAGGACTAGTCACATTCCCGAACAAAGTTTTTGCTATCCTTATGCTTGTGAGTCTTCTTGGTTTTTGTCATATATATGGTAATGTTTTCCCTGTACTGCTTTAATACGGTAAAAATAAGATTGCAAACATAAGGTATATTCCTTAGGGGTGAGTTGTGAATCCACAACAGTCATATTTATAGGTTATTGGTGTGGAATAAAAGTCCTTTGATTTAGGTAAATAGGAAAAGAGCTTGTTGGTGTGGAAAATTATACATTTATAGAATTATAAGTAGAGCTCATGGATATAAGATCTCATGTGCTTGGTAGTATATTCTTCACCAGGACAATTTTGATTTCTTTATGGAATTCATTAGCAATTAGAAAGCCTGATAAGGATCACATGTTTAGAAATGGTGGAAACAGACTAGTTTGCCCTGCTCATCTCAGCTCTGGCTTCCTCAGAAATTACTGGGAAATTCACCTTTCATACAGAAACCATTTTTAGATTTCATCTTCAGGCTTCTTTCTTGCCTGCCTTCTTTCAGTAATTGTACCATAATGTTTTACTTGATGAGAGAGAACACCCTTGCCAGAAAATACATGACCACAGTGCTGGTTCAACTTGTTAAAATCCAGATTTCTTATAAGTCTAGTATGTGCTAGTTTTGGATCTATACCATCTCAT